TTTATTAACTTGTTGTTTTTTATTTATGCATTTAATTTATTTGTATCTATATAGTAATTATAAACCTGACACAAATTTGACATTGAAAACTAAAATATGTGGATTACCATTTGATTTACCTGTGACAGTTAACCCCGTGATGATGTGACATCTGACAACCAACCCAGACCCACCACCACGTAGGTTGTCACAAATTCCTTTTTATTTTTAAATTTAAAAATGTATTCTGACTTAATATTAGTGTTTTTTTTTTTTTAGTATGTTCACAAGATGGTATTTTAAATAATGTGACAATCTTCATACGGAAAAAACGATTTGTCCTTAAAAAAAAAAAAAAGAAATAGTAAAAGCTGTGACAACTGTGACAACTAGCCCCGGTCTCCCCTCTACCTACTCCACTATTTGTATCAAAAAATATCATTATATTGCTGTCTATACAAAATAATATAGTTAACAATATAATGACGTCGTGTCATCATCCTTACTTATGCGTATTACGCATTCCCCTCCGTTATCGAGTAATAATAATTTGGCGTTGTATGCAATTATGCTTATGCTCAATTGGTTTAATACAGAACTTCGTAAAACATTATGATTGCCCGCTAAATATCGCAGGAGCAAGGCTGAGACGATAGTGTGCGGTGTGTCTATTGACTATCATTATAAAAAAAAAAAAAAAATAAATTTCATTAATATAGTAATATATATATATAAACTATAATCATTAATAATGATAATAATACAATTATGCGTATAATAATATCCCCTCGATCGTATTCAATCATATCGACACTTTAGTCTGTGCGTAAGGTATTTTATTGTTTTCCCTTAGGTACCATAAATCCGTTTCCACCGGAGAGGTCGCGGCGTCGATGACGATGACGAGGTCGTGTACATCACACACCGGAACGTTTTTATTATATCTTCCAGTAAGAACTTCCGCAGCTCATTATATTATATAAAAATATACTTATATAGGTACCAACCTATACCGTGAGTAAAATGTACACAGGTGTGTGTGTGTGTGTGTGTGTGTGTGTGTGTGTGTGTGTTATTGCACATGCGCAACTGAAATCGTGTATTCGTGATTTCGTATCACATTGTTGTTTTTATGGTCAACGGATAAAACTATGAATTTAGTCATCTCAAAGAGTGAATACTGATTTTTAACGACTTTTTGAGTCCGTGAACATATTATGCTTACGGTGTAGCGTAAATTATTGTTATTAGGTGTACATAAATTATGTGATATATTATCCTATTGTTTTGTCCATCAAAATTCTCGTGACTGTTGGAAAATCCCCATGATATTATAGTTACCCAAGTCTAAGGTAATCTTTATTAGACATAGTAAAAAATAATTCCATACGTGGGAGTGCGCTCGAGGTATTAAAGGTCGGCACATCGACTTTAATTATTTTCTGAATTGAAAAACTAAAGAATAATAATGCATCATTCGATGGAAATAACCGAAAACGAATATTAGGTACTCGAACTTGGTATGTTTGTTGTGACATCACTAAATATCATAATCATATTATTTGTGTTTTATTACACAAGATGATTCTTTTAACAGTTAACACACATATTTTCGAACACTGAAAATGACCGGAAATCAGGTTTATATATGCATCGAAATTCTTAGGAAAATATTCTCGATTTTTATATGAAATTAAAAAATGTAAATGAAATAATTATGTGCTGAAATTCAAAAGACTAAAAACCTCAAAACTATAATGTTAAAAAATAGTAAAAATATAATTTTTTTCTCTAAAAATCTTGTTTCGTCTTGATTTAGAAAATGTAAAAAATATTGTTCGAGATGATGTGTGTTAACATTTTATCCTGTTTGCTCGTAGGTATAAGAAATTGTTTTAAGCAAACATTTATCGTATTGTTTTTCCTTTTCGCACAATCATTGTACTTTTGTAATGTATTGATTTTCCGAATAGGTTTAATATATATATTATTTTCATTTAATTTTCTTCAAATACCATGATTGGCTCACAAAAGAGATTCGATAAAAAAAATTATGTGCTAATAAGTATTAAAGCTAAAAAGCATCTATTCCATTGATAACTAGTCACTGAGCCACCGATTGCCCATTTTCGTTATTATCTTCTTAATAAGTAATACCCAATATTGGCACGTAAGGAATAATCTGAATCATCCAAAATAGATTTTTTTATTTTTAGTACTCATTGTTTTATTTTCGTCATTGTAAGTTATTATCTGAATCATCCCAAATAGATTTTTTTATTTTTAGTTCTTCATTGTTTTATTTTCGTCATCTTCTATTAACTATATTTAAGATACATATTTGTTTTAATATCATGTTTCTCAAAATAAATCTATATTTGATTTTAATGCAGTAATTAATTTAAGGAGGCGTGGAACATGGACACATAGCCTATAGATATCGGGCGCAGGACTTTCGTTTCGTCCACTCTCCTCGACGCAGGGTACTGTTTTGCTAACATAATTGTTGTTTTGCTAATATAATTTGAAACTATCAATTGTATGGATCATTGTATTGTATTGTAGAAAATCGACTGTGCGGAGCTCAGATAAAAGCAAAGTTCCTTAAATTCCTCAAATATTTATGTATTATTTTTCTATAGTTCATACGTCTTAAACATATCGAGAAAATCAAAAAGTTACTTCATTAAATCACTGGCAAGCAATACTTCTTTATCGTCTACATGCTATTTCCAGTTGATATGCAGTACTTGAAACTTTTGTTAATGTTTAATATTCGAAAAATTGTGCGTTACGTAAAAAATATCGATGAACATAAACATAATATAACTTGTACACACATTTTTGAGACTTAGGCATTAAAATATTTTAGGTATTTGTCCATTTTCGGGTATTTAAAAGGTTATATTCAAGTGTCAACCAATAATTATAATTTTGCTAGACGCAATCTTATACGGTTCAATTATACAATATTTACCATGGCGACTTGTAGACCTCGATGGTTTTTTTATGATTTTATGTTTACTGCACCGCGAATAGTTTTTGAATTTAACAGTCTTACATCTGGAAGGTCATTATGTTATTTTCATTTTTAAAGTAGAATTTTAATACTTGAGTTGTATAATGAAAAACGATGATGAAGTATATAGATGAGAGATAACTAGATGAGTTATAATAATTAGTAAACGAAAGTATTCATCCATAAAAATTATAACTATTTAAAAGTTCTAAATAATTATCGCGGTAAGTATATACGTGTACACTGGACTAATTAATATAATTAATTATATTATTAAGGCTGAATCAATCAATATTTTGTTTATCTGTGGTTTCGTTGCATTTATTACCCAATTAATACAATCATCTACATTTAACTAAATAATATCTCTCGATATTTGTAGTACCTACTTATTTATTTTTAAACCTATAATTAGTGCTAAGGTAAATAAAAAATATTTTATCTGTATCATATAGCAATATGTTTATTGTTAATACAAGATATAAGTAAACTCAATGTTTCTTCAAGAAAAGAAAAATAATGTAATACAACGGAAATATAAAATGTGTAATATTTATAGAAGCGTATTTACTTTAGTTTTATAATTATGTACCTAATCTTAGGTATACCATATTGAATATTGATATTGGACAAACTGTAAAAAGAGTTCCTTTGATTTATATTATTAATTGTTTATTGGAGTCAAAGTATTAAGACAATTTTTGTCAGTAATAATTAAAGTTGTTCTTGGTTTTCTAGTCTATAAGCTTATAAAAAATAAATATATTTATGTAGTGCAGCGCTAGTGAAAGAAACTCGGTGTCGTGTAGTCCAGCTGACATGTTTTGTGCGAAATGACTTGATTATAGATTTAACTTGATATTCATCGGAGATTTACTTTAAAATGCGTTTGTATAGTATTGTCATCGTGTTCAATAGGAAAATATGCCCCGCTGAATGATATCTCTTAACTATGGTTTTAGTATTAGTGTACGTAATTGACGTTTCGTTTCGACATTTACTAATTATGAATACGAAATTGTATTTCGACATAGGTAATCGATAAATATCCGAGTAAGGTCAGATTTGTATTGATATAATATACTCTTCAACAATATGCTTACCGTTCCGTAAACATGCGTTTCGCAGAGTTTTCCTTAGCCCGAATGCGCACAAATATTTAAAAAGCTGTTGTAGTAAAATAAACACGATATTTTAATATCCTGACGAGACTTGATTTGAAGAAACTCGCAATTCCTACATCCCGATAAAAGATAATATTATCGAAGATGTTGGTATATGGATGTAAAACCCATGTCTGGTAGTTTGTCTAACAGAGCATGACATGGGCTGCAGATCATTTTACTAAATATATGAAATATGACGCTGTTCAGACTTTCTTAGATTTACGTTCCGCGTAGTAGCTACTCCTTCTGCAGTTACGATATTATATCTGCGTCTTTTGGATTCAATATATGTTGTACGGTAATCATATTTATCATTGAAATGGTAAAATTCAAAGAAATAAAAACTAAATGAACCAGAAATGCTAAAAATTACTTGTGTTAACGGTAAACTCAGTGTTTGATGTTTTTACTCGGGTAACCCGAGTGATTTAGAACCAAGAAAATCTGACAAAATTAGTAATTACCTCACAGTTTATTTTAAATTACTTTTATTAAGATAAATAGTAATTTATTCAAATCGTTAGTTATAATGCAAGTTTGAATATAATTTTATAATTTAAAACTTATGCGATTAATACGAAACGTAATTATAATAGGTACGTTGTTTTCGAAAGACACTTAAAATATATTTACTTTGTTTGAAATATCAAAATAATATATTAAACTTGACAAATTGTAATGATCATTTGGTTAAAGTTTTTCCTCAGTAAAACGTTAAACTAAGTTGTGTTAGCAGTGTAATTAGAATAATTGAAAATATTGTTTTCAATTGTTGTACTAGTACCAAGGTTCAAAATGATTTCTGTTTTTCAAATATTAATAAAATAGGTACTTACAGATACGACGGTAGTCAGAAACATCAACATTTTTCAAAGGAAGCGTTTGATCTTCGATATTGTTACTTTTAGTTACCTGCGATTATAAAAAAAAAATTAATCAATAGTTTAAGTCATGAAAAAAAAAATAGTACGACGTTCAAAACCAACAGTTGTTGCTTATATTTATATTTATGTTATATTGCTCGCGCAGAGGTTCCTGAACGTTTGAACTGGAAAAAATAATGAAAAAATAACATCATAGAAGAAGATTGTGACAATGTGTTTGTGTGCATCAAAAGAACGTATAACTCAAGGCCGTTTACCGTCGACCTTCAACTCGATCAAGCAAAAACTGAAAAACATCAGCAACCTAACTGGAGGAGGGGACAAACTCTGTAGCCCTTGGCTGAACAGTAAGCACGTCTGCTGCTGCATCGTGTTTATTTGGTATATTTCAGTCCCAACACTCGTTTAATAACATGTAATATCTTATAATAAACACTGGATAAATATATATATATAATCTAAATTAATAATATTATATAACCGAAATAATATCTTTGTTGTCGTTTGCTCGTGTATCCTTTATATGGATGTATGTACCTACAGGTTTATAATGAATATAATGTACACATAATACGTATTATTTGTATTATATCAAATAGGTAGGTACTTATATTTTATATTATACTCTCAGACAACTCTGAAAGTGATTTTTTTTTACAGTGATGAAGATTACAAATATTATTCAAGACGCTGAAAAAAAAATGAAATACTGTTGAAAAACAAATACGCTTCCAATATTTCCAATATAGCAGTGTGGTAACGATAAATTTACATCGTGCACTTCATTCATAGTTTATGTAATCTTAGAAATTCAAAAAGTGCATGAATAAATCTTGCATTAAATTCGTCAGAGATCGAGAATGAAATGTGTGGTTATAAATATATGCTACTATTATTTGTTTATCTGAAAAAGTGATTACTTGTCAACTGAAAAATATCCAATATATTTCGGTACATAGTGAATTAATTATTAAAAAATTACTTTTAACACAAATTGTAATTTTTGTTGTATACAGTTAATTTATAATTTGATTTACTATAATTATTGCAAGTGAATATTGATTGAAATTTGAAACTTATTTTGTAACAACTCATTTCAAATACGGATTTAATATTGCTTTTACTCGTACCTATAATAAATTAATTTCAATTATATAAAAACTTTATGTTAAGCTTTGATAATTGAATTTTGAGCTAATGTATTATTTATTTATTCGACCGATAATATTGAAATGAACAAATTAAATAGATTTCAAACAATATACAGAGTATATATTTTTATTATTTAACTGAGTGACAGTGTATTTGAGATTACATAAAATTATTGATTAAAATTATAACAGCTAGGTAAATTTTTTTTTGGTAACTTTTAATTTATATGTATTTCCACAATTATTATTAATTAAGGTTATTAAAGAAAAAAATGTATTTTACTTATATTTTTTTGAACTATCTTTAAGTATACTATTATTACGCTTAAGATTATAATAACATTTAATTACTAGTTATTACATTTTACTTTTTCGAAACACTAATGATTTGCAAAAAAGATTATTTTAAAGAAGTGTACACGAATGTTATTCGTTAAATTAGCGCCATAATTTGTTAATTACAAATCGCATCATTCTTTATGGTGTATATCAACGAATTTAAATAAACAGTAGGTAATTAGGATTTCATCAAGTTAAATACGATTATAATTTATAAAACTAATTAACATATTAAATTATTGTAATAATTGCCAAATAAAAGTACCTAAGGAGAGTAACATATTATGGACAATGATCACTTGACGTGAATGTTTTGCAAAGTCATAACGAACATAGCTTTTTGACACTGATTAATAGTGTTATTGTAATTATAATAAACGATTCATTTGATATATTGTTTCCTTATCGATTTCTTACTATAGATTAAAGCAAATACTACAATTTGAACCATCGGATACCTAATCAAAAGATACCTACATAATATTAGGTATACATATATGTATAGGATAATAGTAGTATGTCCTCGAATATGTACATAGGTACGTACGTGTAAATTTGAATGGCACACTATATCCTGTCATTTTTCAACTCCACATAATATCGTGTGTTTCGAACTGTATATACTAACTATGAGAAACGAATATGTACAATAGTATAACTAATTATTTTAAGTTTTAATAATACTGAATATTTATAATATACCTATAATATATATTTAAATGTAAATATAGTAACATCACTTATCTGCAATATCTTTAACTGGGCAGATTGAATTATTTGAAGAACGTTTACCCAGTAAAATATTAATCGTAGGTACCTGATTTCCTTATTTTTTTACAAGTTAAAAAGGCTAACCTAATCTTTTATCTTCCATTAATAATTATAGTTATTTAGTATTTTTTTGATCGATTTACTTGTACAAAAGTTGAATACAATCCAATGCGTTAGTGGTGTTATTAATATATTTGACAACTATTTTCAATTCTGACAAAATAAGGAAACCTTTCTGGGTTTTGTTTAAATAATACTATATGACGCACCAGTAAATGTTTCAAATATTTGTATTGTACTTGGCCCAACTCAATATTAGTTAATAGCCTATTAAAACACCTTCATTTTAGAAACGATCACTCGCTCAAAGTCAAACAATATTATGTCTTTGTAAATGTGTTGTGAAAATGAATACTTAGGTATAGCTTTCGTTCGCACGCATTACAACTCGATGATTACAATAATCACAAACTATTAACCAGTAAGTAATAAAATAAACGGCGATAATGAGTATTTCGATGATATAGTACACGAGATTATAATATTAAGTACATTGTATGGGTTACATATTACAATATATTATAGCTAGTAGCATTGAGTAGCATAAAGGTTTAGATTGTTCCTACTTTGGCTGTGATACTGAATATATTATTTCAAAATGTCGTGTTTATTGTCGTGCCTATATTGCGTTGTACCCACTCGTATAACATAATGCAACCAAAAATTATACATCTGCGAGGTTGGTTTGTTCGAATAAATATAATTATACAACACTGTTGTATTATTACAAGTCGAAAACACGGGAATTAAGTAACGTGCGGGTAATGCGGTGTTTACAAATGCACGGAGGAACATTGTGCTTAGAGTGAAGTGCGCGAAGAACTGTGGAAAGAAGAGTATAATGAAGGACTGATAATGGTCTTTAAATATTATCAATTATTGTAATAATATAGTCAATAAATGCGTAAAGAAGGCGAACGGGTGGTATCTTAAATGTGCAGTGCGTGATGGAAACGAATAACGGTTGTTTTCTTCTTTGCATAGATTCACTGATTGTGAACGGGCAGAGATTTGAAGAATCGGACGACCCTCAAAATTGCCAGTATGAATACCAGCACAAAGTGCATATTTTACGAGAATTCTTTGGTATTTAATAATTGTGCATTCATCGAACTTGTGGTGCTCATAGACCTATTTTAATATAGCTGGACGGGCTTTGGAATTGATCACAGAACAACTGTTCTGTGTCCGCCGATTAATTTTGCACGATCTCTTAAACCCATTGCCCCAGCTACGGTATTCGGATAAACCCTGAGAGTTATTTATTGATAGTATTGTTGAACATGTATATGAGAGGCAATGGAATTTTATTTTTTGTAGATCATGTTATCAGGATGAGTGGACCAAAGTCATCTTAAGTAGTTATACTAGATTATAACATCCACATTTTGACGTAATGTCAGTGTGGCAAAAAATTAAAAATGCGATTTGTAGTTTTTTAATTTTTCAGATAAATATATCTGGAAAAATCTGCTAATAAGCAGCCTCGTCATATTTCTATCTCCGTAAACCATTTAAACTTAAGTATTTTAATAGTTCTAATAATTCAATTATAATTGTTCATAGCATCTACATTGTGCACTTTAATCGATTGTCTACTTAAAAAAACTCATATTATTATTATTATTATTATTATTTATTATTATAGTGATAATACAATTATAGGTAGATACCGCTACGGTTGGCATATTGGTGATGCGCATCGAACACGGTTTTTACTTACAAGTTACGAATATGGTCAATACTCAATAATTATATTTTACATAGGCACTACGGTTCATATTGTATACAATGGGGTAAGTGAATTGTTCAAATATACATTTTATACATTAATGAATTAATGCTATAAATAAAATGCTCGTTGAAAAATATTATGTTATTTCGTGCTATAATACCTATTTTTATTTCGCTTTATTTTTATAGGACTAAAATCAATTTATGTTATTCTGTAGAACTCCATATAAGTGTATTTTGTTACTCTATTACTAAATATTGGAACATTATGATGTTTATTACTATGAACCACTGCTATAATATTATTAATACAGCATCAAATATTCAAATTGTTATAGATGACAGAATACATTATAAAAGTTCGCTGTTTAAATATTATTACTGGAGAATAATTAATGCCAGAACTGTTCATTGTCAAATATAATAATAATAGAAGTAAAACAAAAAATTTAAATTTATTAATGCATTCACTCAGAAACAGAATATCAATCATTCAGATTATAGAATTTTTAATTAAAAAAATATAATATGTATACTTAATACTTTTATACAATTATATATATATATATATATATATATTGAAATATTAATTGTCTATATATTTATAAATAAATATGCTTAAATAATTACTTTCGGCCTTCAGGTAAGTATTGTAGTAGAAACGGACTTAAATGTATGTATGCATAATATTATTGAATAATAAATATAATTAAATGTCACATCTCACTGATCTCATAACCAATGTATCCAATCTGTATTTTTTTTTTTTTGTTTCTTTTTAGGAAATCGCACACTGTATAGTGTACACAATAAACTATAGAACACAATGCATTGATACTGTGTTGGTTATTACACTGCGCATAAAAGCTTAAAAAAAGTAAGTAACAAGTAAGTACCTACTTACATGTGGACTGGGACAATATTTGTGGCCGGGAAATCTACCGTCGTCCCACCTGTTCTGTCCACCCCTACA